TACTGCCCCCTTGGGGATGGAGAGGAGGGAGAATGCTGCAGTGTGGGGCATGGAAAGTGGGTGCATCCCCACCTGCAGGGACTTCTCCACCCCAGTCCACCCCAAGGCTTCAGCCCAAGGCAGCAGTTCATAGCCGCCACCGCCACCGCCACCACCCATGGCCTGGACACCAGCCCCACATTACAGCCATCATGGCCTCTGTTGTGCTCCCCCTCATCCTTTTCAGCCACCAATGCGCCGCCTCAGGAGCCACATCTTCAGTGACTTCCTGTGACTTCTCCTTTGCCAGGTGTACCCTGAAGGAACAGGCCACCTAGAATCAACTCAGAGCCCAGGAGCTGTGGACTCAGGCTCCTACTGCCAGTTCTCTTTCCAATGCGTGTCTCCTGCTGGGAGCCAAGCTGTCAGGGGGCTGCCCAGCCTTGACTGAGCAGCTCTGATGGATGCCAGGGACACATGTCGTCCAGGGGGGATTGTTTTCCCTCCTGACTGCACTCTCTCTCACTCGCGTCCCCTCCCTGGCTTCTGTGAGCTAATCAGGGAGAAGGAGGGGGAGGAGGGGGGTGCTGCTTGCCTTCCCCGTTATCTGCAGCAATCCACGGTGACTAATGCTCCCAGTTGGTAAAAAGGCAGTGTAATCAAAACACTTTTTTTTTTTTAGTCCTTAAAGTTAGTCATTCTCCCAGAGTGGAGGAAAAAAAAAAAAACAAAAAAAACAGCCCACAGCAGACACCATGAAATGCAAGCTGAGAGGCGCATGCTGCAGGTGGAAGGGAAGCATTGGCCATGGCAGCTCCCTATGGGTCTGAGGCTCAAGCCCTCCTGCTTGAATCCTTGGCTGGCCTTTCTTACACACCTTCATTTGTTCTTGCTTTCCTCCACACCTGGGCTGTCTGATCCCTGAAGGACTTGCATGTCAAGTGGGGATCTGCCCTTCCCTTTCACCCTGCCAGGTGCTGCCACCTGCTGGTTGTGAGCTCTCCAAACTGCAGGAAGCATATAAGCTCTCGGGATGAGGCCAACCATCAGATTCCTTGTTGGGTGCCTGGTCGTGTGCTGGCCTGCCCTCCGCCCCCAACCTGGCTGTTCAGTGCTGTGCTCCCCCTGGCTCCATCTGTCTGCTGGCGTCTGACCCCGCCTGGCCCTCACATAACTATAAATTGTCAGGAACCTCAGGAAACATCAACGAGAGGTGGTACACCACAGTGGTGAAAAACATGAGGATCGGGGCCAGGTTGCACAGATCGGAATTTCCATTCCACCACTGAGTGGCTGTGCTTCAGTTCCTCCACACTGATAATAATAGTACCTGCCTTGTAGGGTTGGTGTAAAGATTAAATGTGAACTGCTTAGAATAGTGCCTGGCATATCGTGAGTACTCAATTATTAACTTGTAATAAAAATAACAACAACAACAAAATACTAAAGTAAAATGTAGACCATCACAGCCCTATTACTCATCCAAGGCAGACATGGCTAATCAATCGCAGAACTTTCCTACCAATGGTAGATTCCTCAGAATCCTCAACTCGACATTCCAGGCAGCCAGTAACAAGAGATCTGAGTGGGCACATGAGATCTAAACCAGGCTCTTTATGTTACAGTGAAGGAAGATGAGGCTCGGAGGAGGAAAGAGATTCCCTTGAGCTACTCGAAGGCACAACCCGGGTCCAGACAGCTATTCTTGGCCCTGACTCTGCTTGCCAGCCTAGATTCTGATTTGCTGCTTTACCCAGATCTTTGAGCCATCGATGTGGGCTTCCTACCACTGGAAAGTCTAACTCTGATATCTTCCATCTTCTCCCACCCTCACTCCTTTCCCATGTCTTTGGCCTGTGGCTGCCCAGGAAACTCTGTTGTTCTGAGACATCTTGATGAGCAGGTGCAGGGCAGAGAGAAGTGCGGAATGAACATACCTTGAAACCTGAGAGTCTAGGTCTTCATTTATGCTGCAGGAGCCTCCCTGAGGCACAGGCCTTCAGGGCTGCGAGGGAGCTCAGCCCATCGGTTTGGCCCCTTCACATTCAGTCCCTTCAGTCTCAGCCCTCATGCTCTAATGAAGCCCCTAATGGCCCACGTCCAGTCCTGGAATCCTTGCTCTTAGCTGATTAGAGGCTGCCGTAGAAAGAATCGGAGGGTCAGTCTCTGTGTGGGGATGGCTGAGCTGAAGGAGGGCCCATATGACAAGCCCAGAGATGAGGACAGTGGGGAGCATCTGCTTACCAAACTCTGAGTGGAAAGCTCCAAGGAGAAGTCAGGGGTCTGGTGGCAGAGCTGATTATTAGCTGCTTTCCCTATGGTCAACAGCTTTGTCCCCTGAAGTAGCTCTCAGCCACCTGAACACTCTGTAACTACAGGATCAGACTTTTGGGGAGGAAGCAGTATTCACCAGGCCCGAAACCAGGGGCATTCACCTCTACCCAAAGCTCCTCCACTCTTGGCTTCCACTTAGAAACTGCATTTGTTCTTTTTCCACCCCTACCCTGAAGGGGCAGAATCAACCTGTACAGTGCTGTTCTCTGGTTCCAAAAAAGGAAAGACATCGTTCCCAACCCTGGGTCTGGAGATCCTGCAGTTGAGTTTTCAATGATGGAGGGGGTGGGGGTGAAGGTGGGGGGTTGTGCTTCCTTGTGTTCAGCTCCCCAGCATCAATGCTGCAGGGCATATTGTGCTCACGAAGGGATGATATGGGTCCACAGGACAGCAGGATGCCTGACCATCCATCCTCAACCCAGTTTACCTTACACGAGCAAATGAGTCTCAGATAAGGAGACAGAACTCAGCTCAGAGCAAGCACTTTCTAGACAGACACTCGGGAGGCCGGCGTTCTTCCCAGTACCTCAAAGGTCCCGCTAGCTACATTCAAGATCAGGGTTGGAGGTCAGCAGCACAGCCCCAGTGGGCCTCAGGTGAATCCTTCCCTCCCAGAAGGTTTATGTTTGGCTTCATCCCCAGACATCGCTGACTTCTCAAACCTGCTCTCTCGGCTTGCCTCTCTTTTCAGGCCCTACCCCACACATGCCTCCCCATTCTCCTATTTCTCAAGGGCCTCTGGAGTCAACAAAACTGTCAACTTGGAACATCAAAATGTTGGCAACTTTGGCAACGTCATCCAACCACTCATCCTCTAGATAATGGGACCAAGGCCCAGAGAGGGATGTGACTTGTCTTAGGTCAGCCATAGTATCAAAGATGGAACTAGAGCCCAGGACCCCTATGGACTCTTAGTCTAGAACTCATCATTCTTACCTTGTGGGATGTGTCTGCTAACCCCAAACCCTGAAACAGACTTCCTCTGGGATATGGCGGCTGCCTAGGCTAATACTTTTTGAAATGCTTTAGTAATGTGGAGAAATAACCAAGGGAGACAGAATATGGGAAAAGGAAGAAACAGGTGGGAAAGCCCTCCACAGATGCTAAAGAGCCAGGAGTTTCATAAAAACACAGCACCCCACCCCCGCTTTCCATCCATCACACCTCGTGCAAAGCATCATGGACTGTCTTTCCCTTTGCTCAAAATCTCAGCCCCAGCTGCCCTTCACCCACGTGACGCTTTACCTTGCAAGGCTGCTCTAGTGCTCATTTTGGCCTGTTTACTGAGGGATAACATGGTGATGAAGCTGCTCTGTGTGATATGTTTGGAGGCCCACCTTCTATTGGAAAGCCTTTAGTGAGTCAAACTCTAGACCCTCAAGAATGGAAACAGAAAACACAAAAGAGAGACCACCTCCTGTGGCTGGTCCTCTAAGCTCCCCTACTCCTCCTGGCCAAGCCCTCTCCCCTGCCCTGAGAGGTCAGAACAAATCATAACCATCCTCTACTCTAGTTCATTGGCCTAGCTACTCTCCAAGCCGCCCCTAAAACACTAGAGTCCATCTGAAGGAGAATTCCTAGCAAGAAGGCCGGTGAGGGCACAGCAGTTACCCACACAAACCTCATTGTCTGCTCCTCTCTCTTCTAAGACAGGGAGATTCTTGGGGGTGAGGAGGCCAACACCACCCAGAACCCCAGGAAGCTTTTGATGGACCAAGGCCCTGAATTCTGTCTTTGTAAGACCTGAGGCAAGTGAGCTGCTTGCCTGGAACTCAGTCCTCTTCTCAGCCAAGACAAGTTCCCTCTGCCTGGACCCTCCCCAGCCCTCACCTCAGATTCACCTGGCTAGCATGATTTCCCTTCAGGACTTGGCTTACACACTGGCTCCTCCTGGAAGCCCTCAATAAAACCCCATGTGCAGCTTACGGGATGCCACAGCCCCTGTTCGTTCTCATCATCTGTTATTACTGAGCTGCCTGTTTCTCTCTCCCTCCAGGTATTAGATCCGGGAGGGCTTAAGGGCAGGGTCCATACTTCTTTCTCCTGTTTGTATCCCTGGGGTTGCCACAGTGCCCGGCACATCGCAGGAACTCAAAAGAGTATTTGTGAAATGAACGAGTAGAACGAATGGGACCATTCACGTCATTTGGGTTCTGTAGAAGGGGAGCACTTTGTCCTCTTGTGTTGAGTAAATCCACAGACTATTCCAACCTGAAAAGCACCTATTCTATTTATATTCAGAGCCAGCCTCGTGCCATCTTGGAGGAAAAAGATCCGTGTGTTTGTAACAGGTAACGCATGTTAACAGGGTACAAAATTTAAGAGACAAAAGAGCATACAGTGACTATAAGTGTCCCTCAGACTTCCTCCCCATTGTCTCCTTCCCCCACCCTAGACAATTACTGCTACTGTCCCTGGCTTCAACACCTCTTTACAGACAGAAAAACCCGGTGAAGCGACACATGTAGTCAGCGGAAGAGAATTTACGAGTTAGTGTTGAAGGCAGAAAACGCGCCCAGGGACCCTCATGACCCCGCCACAGGCGGAGTCCGGGGTCCCCACGCCAGCGCCTAAGGGTCGCGCGCGGGCCAGGGAATCTCCGCGGGAAGCCCGCGGCGGCGGAAGGGTTAACACGCCGGGCCGCGCCTTTCCAGCCGCCTCTTCCGGGCAGAGGGGGCGGGGCCTACGTCACTTCCTGGAGACTGGCCGAATCCGGAAGTGATCCCCGAGGACCGAGTTGCGCGGAGGACCCCAGCGACAGGGCCAGGTTCGGGACCATGAGCTGGTGAGTGAGGCCCCGGCGGCAGCACCGCTGGAGCCCCAGGCCCGCGATGCGCCTCGCCCTGCGTCCCTGAGTCCCCTCGCCCGTGCTGCCCGCGCTGCCCGCACGGACCCTCTGGCAGAGCTGGGCCGACTGGCCCGGGTTCGAGCGGCCTTTCCCCGGCGCTCTGCTGGCGTCTCCATCTCTCGGCAAGACTCGCCGGGAGGTGGGCCGGGAGGTCCCGCGCCTGCCTCATTTCCTGACTCTTAATGTTCCAAGGAGCCCGTCCCTTTTTCCCCCCAGTTGCTTGAAGTGAGGGACTTACGTGTTCCCTTATCTTTTAAGTGTCCGTTGAGGTGGAGTGACTTCTTTCTCCCCTGTGGACATTACTCCACCGCTCCCACCAGCCCCAGAGCTGTAGCCCTCACCCTGGCAGTCTGGGCCCCGTTCATTGATCAAAACCCACTTGCTTTCAGATGACCACTAGCCTTTGCACCATTTAACAGCCTTCAAAAGACAAAACTTGCTTCTCTTTTGGAAGGCGCCCGTATTAAACACTCACACCCGCACTCCCACAATGGGATTGGACTAGTTTTATTTCCAGGGCCATCACCCACTCACTGCTTTACTTTACATCCGAAATAGACATAGGTAAGCTTAAACATCATGGGAACTATCAGGCTTCGAGAAAAGGCTCAGAGTAGTAGAATCACAACTCCAGAGCTGCAGAACTGTGGTACTTGGCTCTAGTAGACACTTCATAATGTTTAATGGTTGATCTATTTTGTAAGACTCAGTTTGCCCAAAGGACCTTACCTTCAGGCCCCAGGACCTATATATCCACAAACCCAAACGTAAGGGGATCCCGAATGTGCTTGTATGAGTACATGGACCCCCGGAGGCATACAAGATGAATCCACTTTTTTGGAATCCAGGTCCCATTAGCGTAGGGAACATGTTTGCCACACCATCCTCAGAGTGTAGCCTGTTTCTTTACAGAAAATAAGTGCACAATAACTAGTGATGATGAACGAAGATAATAGAGTATCCTTCGGGAAGTCTATTACAGGCTCACATTTGGCTATCAGTGGAGACTAAGCTCTGGCCACAAGCAGCTGATGTCAGTCAGTGTCATGGACAGCTCTCTCATGTAAAATTTAAACCGTTTCTGCCCTCTTTCCCCTTGCTTCTTAGAGGAAGATTGATGGACAAATGTCAGACAATGGGCGCCAGCACGTGGAGGGAAGCCCGGAGCAATGCCCTAATAAGCCCCAGCAGGAGCTGCTCCTTTCTCTCCACCTTTGCTCCAGGAGACCGATAGGGGGCTGGGGCCTTAAAAAGCTAACTTTCCCATCTTGTTATAACCTAGTTAGAGATGGGCAGAGTGGCACTCCTTCTATTCCCTTTCCTAGAGGATTTACTTCCTTACAGTGTCAGCCTGGGTCCCCGACCTTGTGATGTAGATGACCCCTTGCCTGCTGTGTCTTGAGGATGCAGCTCTCTCACCTAGTTTTCAAGGGGGAAAAAAAAAAAGCAGAAAGCAAGCACAGGTGCTTCATATTGCTTAGATTGGCATTTACAATTTTTAAAGCTGAATCGCTGTTTTCTTCACACATCAGGAGAAGAGTAGAGCAGAGACCACTAAAGGAAAAGGGTTCTCTGGGTGATCTGAGGCATGCCGTTTCCACCTGTCTTGCAGAAAGTTTTGGGGTTTTTTTTTCCTGAAAACCTAGTAGTAGCCTATTTCCTAAAGACTGTCAGGTTGGAGAGAATTGAAATCGACAACTGGCTGTCTAGCAAAAGCTGAGAATTTTATCCAGTAGAATTAATTTACCAGTACACGCACATCTTGGCACCTCCTTGGACTGAGGGTCACAACCAAAAGGGCAGCTTTGTCCCTCAAAGCTCAGATTCCTTTCTCTTCATCCTTAGAGGGCTTCTACGTCATCTCTTGCGTGGACCCTGACCCCCTCTCCATGAGGGGAACAGCACCGGCGCCTGGGCACACAATTACACTCAGTTCCTGCCTCAATGGCTGGCAAGGGGACCGGGGCGGAGCCCTTCTGATTCACTCCTGGAGTGGTTTTTCTGCTCCCAGAATGAATCCGGCCATTCATTGTAGACTGGAATTCTCAGTGGGGAAGGAGACCAGAGTGACGTAGAGCTATCATGGGAGGCTGATGCCCAAGGTCAAGTTCACCAAGCATATGGGATATGCCAGCCATCATTGAATAAGGCCTAGGGGCACACAGCCCATGGTTCCAGAGGATAACCATTGTTCTGGGCTTTCAAAATGCCACAGTGAGAAATGTCCAATATTGATGCCCTTTGTACACTGTGGACTTTGCATGAAGAGTGAGAGGTCTTTGTTCTCTGCTTCCTCTGTGCATGCAGCCCGCCCACCCCCTGTTTGTTTAGTGGGTACCAGCCCCCTTCCTGTACCATCTGCCCATCCACTCATCCACCCATCCATCTATCTGCCTTTCAGCAAGGTGGCCCAGTGGTGTGTCCTGCTAGGAAGAAGGCATTTGATGTTCACATCTCAGATTACTGATGCACCTGTTGACCCCAAACCAAGTGCTTCTCTCTCTCCCCTCCACCTCCCTGTTTTCTGTCTCTCTTCATGTGTACCATATGGTATGGAAGGAGAATTAAATAGAATTAAGAATAGTGACATTAGTCTGGCTTACCTGTCTCCAGGTATTGTAGTCTTCCCTGGAACTACACACCTTGATGATTTTAGGTACTGGAGGAAACCTTCCTATACTTAGAGGTCTAGGAGTTTGACTCAGAATGAAGAAATTAAAGTCAGCACAGACAAATTTGGCTCCGAGTTAGAGTGCTGAGTTCAGGTTCTGTTTCCCTCGTTCACAGTGTAGCCTGGTCAAGCATTTAACCTTTTTCAGTCTTGTTTTCGCCAACTGTAACATGGAATGGATAATTCCAGCTGACACTTTGTCACCCAAGTCTTGTGAAAAGAATGAAGACTATGCAGATATGATTTTTTTCTGACTCTTCTGGGCTCTTCTGTCTCTGTCTGCTAAATATTGGTATTTCTCAGGTCCATCCTCTTTTTTTTTTGTTTGTTTTTCCTGTTCTCACCCTGTATAGTCATCCTTCCCAACATCTTTAGGATAAAGCCCCAACTTTGGGCCATGGCTTGCTTATAAGTCCCTTTTGGATGTGGCTGTCCCTCTTTACTCCTGTGTCCAAGCTTTTTCTGGTTTCTCAGGCCCCTGCTCCTCTGTGTGTGCGGTTCCCTCTGCCTGAAATGCCTTTCGTCCCCACCACCACTGCCCACCGTCCACCAGGCCAGTGTCCACTCATTTTTCAAGAGTCACAGCAGGCCTCACCTCCTCTGCTGAGGGTCTTCCCTGAATGGCCCTCCACACCCTGCCAAGCTGAGTTGGGTGCCCCTCCTCTGACCTTCATTAGCTTCTGTGCTGACTTGTTGGTTTACTTGTTGGGAACCCCACTAGTCTTTGAGCTGTTGAAAACAGGGACTATCTCTTGGTCACCACTGTCTTCATAGCACTGTACCCGATCGTCAGTAAATGCGTATTGAATGTATGAATGAGGACTTTTTTTCCATTTACTGCTTTGCCTTAGCTCAGGAAAAATTGAAAGATAAAAACGTGCAAAACCTACAAGCTACAAGCCACTTCCTGAAATGAAGAGCCTCTAAGAGTGCTATTGTTAAATTGACTGATGGAAGAAGTGACTCCCGAGACTCTCTAAGGCTGTCTCTGATTGTTCTCCCCTTCTCTCTCCTGTCCCTCAGCTACTTTCTCCTCTACTTCTTCTGTAGGACTTCCCCATTCTTCATGCACCGCAAATGTGCACCCCTCTCCCATGTAAACTCCATGAGAACGGTGTACAACTTCTTCATCTTTGTGTACACATACTATCTTGTACACAGTAGGTACCTAATCAGTGTTGTGAAATGAAATGAATGGAATTTAAGGAAAGGACGGCAGACTGCCGGGTCAGACAGAACCATCCATTCTGTTTCACACATTTTCTCAGTGGAGTCTCTTTTCCCTCTAGCATTGCCATTGCTATCTGACATTTGTGTAGTGCTTTTAACTTCAAATTGCTTTCCCATCCATTATCTGATTTCATCCTCACATTTACCCTTGGAAGTATGCAGTTTGGGTCTCATTATCTCCCTTTGACAACTTACTTGAATTCACTCAGACAGTACGTGGCAGAACTGGAACTAAAATCTGCATCTCCTGGGTGTTGTCTCCAGTTGAGCAGGAACATTAGCAAAGTGGAAAACCATTCTCAAGCTGATAGGATCCCAGAGGAAGGCATTTGACTTTGCCAGCGTGTTATCGACACAAGCAGGTTGGCAGTGAAGCACGGGAAGTTGCCAGTTTTCACATATAAGGTGATAGAGGAAGTCCCATGTCCTGCAGACCTCCAGGTATCCTGGACCATCTCAGCTGCTTGCTGCTCTGGGGCCTCCCCGCCTGGGGCAGCTTTTCCACCCGCTCCTTCTGTAACTTTGGACAGGCCAAGCTCTCCCCAAGCTCTCTCCTCCACTAGAGAGCATGGTGATGTCCAGAGGATGGGACCCCGTGAGGCGGGTCTGATACTTCCCTATCCCACATTGCTTTGGTCACAAATGGAAAACACCTCACTCTTATTTCAGCTGCTTATAATGAGAGGAGAAGGGAGTTTTTCCAGATTTTGGAGTAGAGTCAAGTGTCTTGAGTCCCACAGCTTCTTAGTCAAAGGTGTTTTCTTACATTTTTACACTCTTTAAGTACATCTGTTGAGGTAGTTTAGAGTTGGCCGTTAAGCTATTAGAATTGTTTTCCTAAACCCATTATTTTGGTGGCTCATCCACTAACTGCAGCCCAATCTGCTGTGTTGCACAGAGATAGTGCTCAGTAAATACTTGTTGGTTTAATGAACATTGAACATTTTTAATGTACTAGGGCCTGTACTAAATGTTGGAGGACATTCAAAAGGCTATAAAAATCTATCCCTGTCTTACGGGAAGCGCCAGGGGTTCA